TTAAATACATGCCCACATCATGGTTTTGATAAATGGCGTACTATAAGTTTCTTTTATAAGGGCCTAACTCCTGAAACAAAACAATTTGTAGAAACGATGTGCAATGGTGAATTTTTAGATAAAGATCCAGATGAAGCTTTGGAATTTCTAGATCATCTAGCTGAAAATTCTCAATCTTGGCAAACAGTAAAACCAATAGAAAACTCAATTAGATCTAGTCTTGCTAGTTCTAGTGGAGGAAAATATCAATTGCGTCAAGATGATGATCTAAATGCTAGGATTGATTGTTTGTCTAGAAAGGTTGAAGCTATGGAATTAAGGAAAGTAAAGGAAGTTAAACCCATGCAAAATGATGAAATTTGTAGCATTTGTGAAACTTTTGGTCATCCTATGCATGATTGTCCTAACATCTCAATTTTCAAAGAAGTTTTATATGATCAAACCAATGCTATGAACACTTTCAAAAAGCTTTTTCCTTATCCATACTCAAAAACATATAATCAACAATGGAGAAATCATCCCAACTTTAGTTGGAGAGATGATAATCGTGTTCATATATCTCAACCTCAAGGGCTTTCAAAATTTCCTTCTTTTCCACCACCACAATCAAAGACTCTTAAGGAAACATTACAGCCTTTTCTGCAAGGACAAGCAAATATTAATAATCAAACTTCACAAGCCATCAACTTAGCACGCGATTTATGTAACGTGATTTTTAAACTGCAAGTGTACAATGTCAAGTTTTGTAATATAGTAAAGAAGTCAGGATGTCAAACCAACAAGGATTGATATTCAAATCAATTGAGTACTATAATTATTTTAGCTTTCCCTTTATTTAGACGATCAAATTTTGAGTCAATGTTTTTATGCTAAATTAAAATTAAATAAGATGAACAATGCAAGTAAACGAGGGCAAATTATGAAGTTTCTTATCAAATTATGAATGCCTAGAGAATGATTTCACCATACATTCGACAATATTTTTCAACTGTATAACTATTTCTATCAATCTTTCCAAAATTTATAGGCAAGAATGCTAAAGTGATTCTATTTCCCTCTCTCGAGCGCCAAATAAAATCTATATTTGTATATTAATTCCAATATCTTTATTCCGAATTAAAAATATAAAAATTATCAAGCACGTGGTTCTTAATTAAAACAAGCCTCAAAGATTCGCACTTTCTCTCGAAACCTACGAAATCTAGGTTATGTTGTCTTAGATCACGCCTAAATTTGCCTCTCTTGAGCGCCAAAATTTAGAAAATCAAATCAGTCAATTAGTCATTGCACACAAACAACATGAATAAATAAATGGAAAGATCAATTGAAATAATTAAAATGGAATCCAAACATGTCTAAAGTAGGCTACATGATACCCTAGGATTAAAATTTAGTGCATAATTAAAAGAATTGACGTGAATAAATTAATAAGAAAGAACATAGAGAAGAAAAGGAATAGAAAAACTCGTTTTTGCCGCTCAATTTCTTTTTCCATTGTTGCCAAATTCTCTCAATTAACTTCCTCTTCTTTAATTGTAATGACCAGTTGTGGGTTTGTCTCCATATTTTTGCAATTGCCGATTGCTTCCAGATTTCCTTGCTCATTCTTCCCGCTTTTAATTAGGTCTTTTAGGTAGTATTTATAGTCTCCTAAGCGTTGGACAATTTTGGGTTGGAATGGGCTGAGAAAGAAATCCAAAAATATCAAAATACGTTTACCCGCATAGGTGGTGCCACAGCACTGCCCTTACTGTTAAATCCAGATTCATTAGCACCACGATGCCCGGTTCGGGGTGGAAAATTACTTCTACGTGTCCTTCAAAATTTTGAGCATAACTTTCTCGTCCAATGTCCAATTGAGATGACTCAAAGCTCGTTAGAAAGCTAACTCAAAGGGGTACAAATTTTCTTTAGATATTATTCTCCGCTTCAATCGTTTGCTATGTCAAAAATGAGTCTCAATGTGAGGCTGAAATTTCGGAGTACAACTTTCCGGTTGGAAATTGATTTGTGATCATATTTTGACTAAATTTGATCCCTTTGACAGTTTTTTTCATCCAATTGACTCCTAGCATGCTTGGATCTTCATTGCGAGGTTCAACACAACTTTTCAATATTTGCGCTTTAGTCCCCGAACTTTGGATCTCTTAAATTTAGCAATTTTCTCCAATTTCGCCAACTTTTGCTTATTTCTTTCAATTTCATCAACCTACATCACCACATCAAAACACACAATAAAAAGCTCTAAAACACTCTCAAGAGTAACAAAATAACAAATTAGGTGGCATAAATATTATGAGTGTAGAGCACTGATCAAATACCCCCAAACTTAGTATTTTGCTTGTCCTCGAGCAAACATCAAACGAAAGAAAATCATTAACAAGTACACAAGCACAGCTAAAACAAACAAAATCACTTAAAAGACACGTTATGTTAGACACCTTGCCTTTGTAGCTCAAGATTAAAAACATAGCGTCAAATTCATGAATTACTTCAAAGCTATAATGCACAAATCAAATTCTCGCCTATTCAATGCAACTGGGTGTGTGTGTGTGGAGAGTTAAGCGCAACGCTGTACAATAATAAATTGACCCAATTCCCAACCTTAAAAGTCAAATATTTTCTTGCTTCGCTCGTGGGATTCACACATCCCCAAGCTTGTTTTCTTTTCTCTTCCCAAGGTGTATTCTCAAGTTGATTTTTCAATACTAATTTCTTACATCGCTCAAGTTTGGTTAGATTTCACTATTGCAGTTCAACATATCAACAGATAAGGATTCGCCTTATTTTTGACTGCTTCAACCTCTCATCAAAGGTCTAATCCTTTAAAACAAGTGTTCGGGGCTTAATCAAGGTATGTGATATCAAATTTCTTTTCTTTATTTTTTTTCAAATATAAATTTATTCTTTAAACACCCTTTGTATGGACGTCACTCCCTTAAGCTTTCTAAATGACCCTATAGCGAGCTTTAGTCTGAGGACTCCCAAATCAAACGACTTTAGGGCACCAGGTTTTAAACCCTTATAGGCTTAATCACTCGAGTCATAAAGGCTATGAAGTGACAATTCACAATGAGATTATTAAAGTTGTCCTCATTGGGATCTTTTTTTTATGCAATGATTAGTGTAATACCCCTTATTTAACATCAATTCTCGAAAATCGACCTCTAACTTTAGGTTTTCACCCAATTTTCATCCTATTAGTCTCAGACAATCCACACAAAATTTAGCACACACGAAATCCGCATTTATGTCCAAATTTCCCTACAAAAGCTTAATCTACCAAACATCCTATATTTAGTTTAAGGGTAATATGATGTTCAAAGGTTGTTTGAGTTTAGCATCTAAGTTCTCTAATCCAACCTATAAACATGAATCAACATACTCATGCACAACACCACAATCAACTCACGTGCAAAAATAATTTCCGTTTTACATAAATAAGGAAAAATCTAACTCAAGCACATAACTTATCCATAAGCCATAAATCAACACATGTTCTCAATTACACAAATCAATATCGGCAAGGCTATCTAACTCACACAAGAATGCAAAATTAAAATTTTTTTTTTCTTAACAGTGCACCCTAATAAGAAAATTTAAAAAAATTGCACACAAATCACACAAAATAAAAAAAAATATGCAGGCAATTAGAAAATTTATGATACACCCCCAAACTTAAACTAAACATTTTGCCCAATGTTAAATTAAAAGAAAAGGAGGAAAAATTTCCCTAAATTGTCTGAATTGCCAATGATGGTGTGGTGCTATGATGCTGGACTTGATTGATACTTCTTCTAGTTTCTCCCCTAAACTTGATATTTATCCAGTTACTCTTCATCAATTTGTTTGATTGTTCCACGATGTCAAGTTTCTGGAAATTGAAAATGTAGATATTAAATTCATGGAACAAGTGTTACTTAACTTGAGCATCTAATAACCAACTAGACTGCTCAAAGACCTAAGGGAGATGAGGTAGGGCTGATGAATTCATAAATAAAAAAATTTTGAAATGAAATAAACTCTCCTAGAATTCAAAACAAATAAAATAAGATAAAATAAGTGAAAATGTAAGAACGCTTGGGTTGGCTCCCAAGAAGCGCTTCTTTATAGTCACTAGCTTGACTCAACTGCAATGCCTACAGTGGATCCTCAGGTAGCACATTTCTCTTGTTTCTGAACTTTATCTTCAGCTTTGTATTCTTCTTCATTGTAAGATGGTGAACAAACTTAGGCTGTTTTGACCCTGGTATGGCTTTCAAGATCTCTTTTGGTTTGGCAATGTTTGGAGGTTCCAAATGCCTATCTACATAACTCTTTTTTTTTTGTCAGGTGGGTCAGCTTCTTGAGCTAAGATGAAATCCACTGCTTTCTTCATTTCTGAGTCATTACCATTAGTAGATGCATCCCTTGTTGAGTAATTAATTTCCATGTATTGCACCAATAGATCATAAAATAATTCCATTTTTTCTCTGTTTCTTGCAATTACTTCAGCTGATTGGATCATTTTGCAAGTGTCAACTTTTCCTTTCCCTGGGGCTTTCTTTTCTTGATGGATGTTGAAAGTTACTTGCTCTTCATTAACTCTTAGCATCAACTTTCCTTCTTGCACATCAATCAATGCTCTTCTAGTAGCAAGGAAAGGTCGGCTAAGAATCAATGGTACTTTCTCATCCTCTTCCATGTCCAATACCACAAAGTCCACCGGAAAGATGAACTTATCAACCTTCACCAACATATCTTCAATAATACCTTTAGGATATGTTATCGCTCTGTCCATCAGTTGCAAGGTAAGGGTTGTGGGATTCACTTTTCCAACATCAAACTTTTTGAACACTGATAAGGGCATCAAGTTTATAGTAGCTCCAAGGTCACATAGTGCCCTATCAAATGCGATATCAATAATATTGCACGGGATGTTAAAGCTACCTGGATCTTTCAATTTGTGAGGGAGCTTCTTCTGAAGTATGGCACTACACTCCTCTATCAGCTTAACAGTCTCAAATTCCTCCAACTTTCTCTTCTTTGACATCACTTCCTTTAAGAACTTTGGCATAGTTAGGCCTTTAGCCCAAGGTTTCTGTAAAGGGAATGTTGATGTGGATTTTCTTGAAGACCTCCAGAAACTTTGCAATTTTTTCATCAAACTCCTTCTTCAAATACCTCTACGGGAATGGTAGTAGGGGCTTCAAGATAAGTGGGCTGTCCGGAAATGAAATTGAGTAAGGCTTATAAATCTTATTTGTTGCCTCTGCCTCAGTTTTCTACCCTTCAGTCTACTTTTCCATTGCAAGAATGGGATTCGATGTAGGTACCCAAACCTCTCTAAGCTTGCGTTCTTCAACAGGTTTACCACTTCTTAGGGTGATAGCATTGCAGTGTTCTCGTGGGTTAACCTCTGTGTCACTGGGAAATTGTCCTTCTTGTTAAGACTATATTGTAGTTGCTATCTGACCAATCTGCACCTCCAAATTCTTTACTGTAGCCCCTAAGTTGGTCATATGTGTCTCAATACTGTCAAGTCTTACCTAATCTTCGTTGAACCTCGATCTGGTCTCCGAAATGAAGGTTCCTAAAATATCTTCCAGTGATGGCTTTTGCTCAAACGCTTGATTATTGAACCCCTGATAGTAGTTATTTCCTAAGTAGTTTCCCTTTTGATTGAAATTCCAATCATTCATATACTTAAGTTCTTCATTCTCCCTTTCAACTTTTTGGTATGCAGTGGATGTAACCATAATAGATTCTGATTTCTTTTGTGATCCATGTGAAGTCAATGCAGCTATTTGATTAGTGAGAGATGACATTTGAGCTGCAAGGACGATTATAGGATCTACTTCATAAAGGCCAGCAACTTTCTTTGCACTTGAACGCTCACTCGGCCATTGATAGCTATTAGTAGCTATCTCATCCAATAATGCATAAGCCTCATTTGGAGTTTTGGATAATAGTTCACCTCCTGCTGCAGAATCTACCACTATCCGTGTCTGACCATTCAAACCGTTGTAGAAGGTTTGTATCTACAACCAATCTGGGTAACCATGCTGAGGACATCTTCTGAATAGATCTTTATATCTCTCCCATGCCTCATAGAATGGTTCAAAGTCTAATTGTCGAAACTGTCCAATTTCACTCCGTAATTGCGCTGCCTGTGAAGGTGGAAAGAATTTTACAAGAAACTTCTGCGCTAACCCCTCCCAAGTTGTGATAGATCCATACGGCAATGATTGGAACCATGCCTTGGCTTTGTCTCTTAGGGAAAAGGAAAATAGATGGAGTCAGATTGCATCTTTAGTAAAGCCATTCATTTTTACTGTATCACAGATTTCTAGAAAGGACCCCAAATGAGCATTTGGGTCTTCTGTTGGAGCTCCACCAAACTGATTATGTTGCACCATGTGTATAAGTCCTGGCTTCAATTCGAAATTGTTTGCAGCAATTACTGGGCGTGCGATGCCAGAATAGTTGTCATTGACAACCGACCTTATGTAGTCTCGAATAGCCCTTTGTTGGTTATCCTTATTGGCTGCTCTAGCATCCTATTCTGCCATTGCTTCTCGTTCGTTTCTTTGTATGCCTTTGAGAATACAAAATGTGCGTTCTGGTTCAGGATCAACAGGTAGTAGGTCTAGATTTCTCTCCCTTCGCATAAACAGCTAAAAATAACCACAAGGAAGCCCTTAAAGATAGACACAAAAAGAATAAAATAAAAATAAAAATTACGATAGAAATAAAAATATAAAGTAAACTGAAAGCTAATTGGTAATAATATCAATTGAATTCAAATAAATCAATCCCCGGCAACGGCGCCAAAAACTTGGCACGCGATTTATGCAACGTGATTTTTAAACTGCAAGTGTACCATGTCAAGTTTTGTAATATAGTAAAGATGTTAGGATGTCGAACCCACAATGATTGATATTCGAATCAATTGAGTACTATAATTATTTTAGCTTTCCCTCTATTTGGACGATCAAATTTTAAGTTAATGTTTTTATGCTAAGATGAATGATGCAAGTAAACGAGGGCGAATTATGAAGTTTCTTGTCAAATTATGAATGCCTAGGGAATGATTTCACCGTACATTCGATAATATTTTTCAATCGTATAACTAGTTCTATCAATCTTTCCAAAATTTATAGGCAAGAACACTAAAGTGATTCTATTTCCCTCTCTCAAGCGCCAAATAACAGTCTAATATCTCTATTCCGAATTAAAAATATAAAAATTATCAAGCACGTGGTTCTTAATTAAAACAAGCCTCAAAGATTTGCACTTTCTCTCGAAACCTATGAAATCTAGGTTATGTTGTCTTAGGTCACGCCTAAATTTGTCTCTCTTGAGTGCCAAAATTTAGAACATCAAATCAGTCAATTAGTGGCCGATTAATTGAAAACATTGCGCACAACAACATAAATAAATAAATGGAAAGATCAATTGAAATAATTAAAACGGAATCCAAACATGTCTAAAGTAGGCTACATGATACCCTAGGATTAAAATTTAGTGCATAATTAAAGGAATTGACGTGAATAAATTAATAAGAAAGAACATAGAGAAGAAAAGGAATAGAAAAACTCGTTTTTGCTGCTCGATTTCTTCTTCCATTGTTGCCAAATTCTCTCAATTGGCTTCCTCTTCTTTAATTGTATTGACCAGTCATGGGTTTGTCTCCTGATTATTGCAATTGCCGGCTGCTTCCAGATTTCTTTGCTCGTTCTCTCTCCTCTTAATTAGGTCTTTTAGGTAGTATTTATAGTCTCCTCAAGTGTTGGATGATTTTGGGTTGGAATGGGCCGAGAAATAAATCCAAAAATATCAAAATACGTTTATCCGCATAGGCGGCGCCAAGGCGCTCGGTTCGGGGTGGAAAATTCCTTCTACATGTCCTTCAGTATTTTCAGCATGACTTTCTCCTCCAATGTCCAATTGAGGTGATTCAAAGCTTGTTAGAAAGCTAACTCAAAGGGGTACAAATTTTCTTCAGATATTATTCTCCGCTTCAATCGTTTCCTATGTCAAAAATGGGTCTCAAATGCACAAATACCTGTAATTTTAGGTCGTCCCTTTCTTGCTACTTCAAAAGCATTAATAAGCTGTAGAAATGATATCTTGAAACTCTCTTTTGGAAATATGACCGTGGAAACGAATTTTTTTAACATTTGCAAGAAACATAGAGATAAAGATGATTTACATGAAGTAGATTTTATCGAACAACTTGTTGATGATCTGTTCATCGCTACATCTTCATCTGATACACTAGAATTTGAATTTAAAGATAATTCTAAAAATTTGCATATAATTTCTTTATTGAATTCTTTTCAAAAGAAAAAGACAAGTGATTGAAAATCAAAGTTTGAAAAATTATCGCAACTATCCAATATTTCCATGATTTCAAGTGTTCAAGAGCCAAAGCTCGATTTGAAACCATTTTTTGAGAATTTCTCTAGATTGGAAAAGTCCGTTGCTTTACATGATTCTAAGGATTGATATCATTTTCTCTTTATTTTATTTTGTATGTTTCTTTTTAGTTTTATAATGTTGTATGTTTGTTTTAGGTGTGTTTCTTTTATTGTCGTTTTTTTTTCACTAATGAAATTGAAGGTTCATTTAGGCCAAGTTTATGCATACTTTCAAGGTAAAGCTCAAAACCCGTCCCTTTGTTCAAAATTTTGCTCCTTACTGTCCTTCATATATTTTGCACATTTAATCTTTACATTGAAGACAATGTTTCAGTTAGGTTGGGGGGAAAGGAATAAAAAAAAATGTTCTTACGGACCGACAATAATATTTGAAATTGTTTTTTATATTATTGTGACTAGGAGATACTGTTTTGATTTAGTTTAAGCTTGTTCATGTTAGACTAATCTACATTGAGCACAATAATCATGAAAATCACATATTATTTAGATTGGATCAATGGATAGAATATGTATAATTGACTATGACCAAAAAATAAAAAAATCCTACTAAACCAATTCTAGGATAGTTTGGGGTGGTTGAGCTATTGTAGAGAGACATTCAGGTAGATGTGGATTCCATGTGTGTTAAATTTTGTGTGGATTGCTTAAGACCAATGGGATGATAATCAGGTGAAAATCTTAAGTTAAAGATCGATTTTTGAGAATAAGTGTTTAATGAGGGGCATTGCACTAATCATTGTATAGAAGGGAAAAGTTGCCATATTGTAAAACTACCCTAAAAGAGCCCGATGAGGACAATTATATACATAATAAGAGATCAGGCTAGTGCATGAAATAGAATACGCACGACAAACTTGAAAAAAAAGTAGGTGCATGAAATAGAAGACGCACTACATACTTTGATTAAGTTTCAAACACTTATTTTAGAAAGTTAGACCTTTGATAAGGGATTATTAGCTTAGTTGATTCTTGGAGGTTGAATCAGTCAAAATTAAGGAGAATCCTCATTTATTGATGTGTTGAGCTACAATTAGTAAAATCTAACCAAACTAGAGAGGGTAAGTAATAGTATATAATTTTAACCATAAATCACATCTTGGGAAAATAGTTACAAAATCAAGTTTGAGGGTGTGCATTCCACGAGAGAAGAGAGAAATAATTGACCATTGAGGGTCAGGATGAGTCTAATTTGAAAAGTAGGTGATTGAATTGATTATACACACACACACATTGGTCGAGCATTGGACAAGTTAGACTATGTTTTGGTAGCTAACCTTAGAAGAATTTTGATAAGCAATTTCAAATCCTAAGTCAAATGCGACAAACTATTTCATTTGAAGTAATTTTGAAATTTTATTGCAAGAGACTAGCAATATCCTGGTTGGGGAGTGTGATTAGTGTCAAAAGGTGCTTCAAAGATAAATCATTTATAAGGCATTTTACATTCACTTTGTTTAAAAATACTAATGTTAGTCTCTAATTTCAATTCTCTTGCCGTAAATTCAATTTCCATAAATACACGGTAAAAAATGCAATTAATTGAAATACGTATTTGCATACATGTCGGCATGAGTATTATACCTTTGAAAGACATTTATTTGACTTATTTCACATGTATTTCCAATTTAGAATAAGTGGAGCAAGTGGAGGAAAAAAAATGTTGAAAAGTCAAGAATAGTGACTGTCTCAAGCAAGAAGTAGCTGTCGGTAAAATGATCATAACTTGAGCTACAGACATTGAACCAAGGAGATTCAAGTTGGGTTGGAAGGATAAGGCATGTGTCTACAACTTTCATGTTTTCCAAGAAGTCAAATTTGTACCACAAGGCAGCAAAAATTACCATGCAAAGTCTAGCTTGTTACCTGCCGAATGCAGCCTTTCCACCTGTGAAGCATCACTCATTTTTTTTGTCATATCTGGAGTTATATAGATCCAATGAACCTGAAATTAGCACCAATAGAAAGCTAACTCCAGTGGAAATAATTTATATGTTTATTATAGGTCTAAATTCACTACACAAAGTATCTGAAAATTGGCATCAAATTGCATGCTCCAGCTGTCTTGAAGCTGGAGAGAA